GCTTGGCTAAGATTGCACGGTCGAATTGTGTTTTGTGTTGCATCAAGTGGAATAACATCTTTCCTATTGCCGGGCGGACGAACTGCACAATATTCTCGATTTGGCATTCCTATTTATGTGCATGAAAATTCATCGTGTCAGATCAATCAGGCTAGCCCCCTTGCTGAGTTGATTATTCGCTCTTCATTGATCATATGGGATGAGTCCCTATGATGTATAAACATTTTTTTGAAGCTGTTCAAGCATCTTTTAAACAATAATGGGAGCCCTCGACCCGACAAATCATCATAAACCGTTCGGAGGCAAGACTGTTGTGTTTGGTGGAGACTTTCTACAAATCCTTCCGGTAGTTCCAAAGGGTAGTCGTCAGGAGATTGTTAATGTTGCTATTAACTCTTCTAGCATTTAGGGAAGAATGTATTGTGTTTAGGCTTACAAAGAATATGCGTCCTCAGAGCATTCGCGATTCGAATGAACATGACGAGTTGGCCGCTTTTGCTGATTGGATAGCGAGCATTGGAGATTGAACATTGAGAGGTAAAAATGATGGATGTTCTCCGATAGACATACCAAATGATCTATTACTAGAGCCATCCGATGATCCAGTTGCAAAAATTCTTGAAAACACATTTCCGATGTTCAAGAATGCAACTGATGATCCAAGTTACTTGAAGGATAGAGCTACACTTGCGCCAACACTCGATATCGTAGAATCTATTAATGAATACATGTCGTTAAATTTGACTGAGGGACGCTGTTTGTTGTGTTTTTGTTTTTATTTTGTTATGTTTTATGTGTTTTATTTTGTGGTTTTTAGGTCCGTTTTTAGGCTCGACCAGTCCATTTTGTCATGTTTCGTATATTCTTGCTCTTGTATAGTGTTTTCGTATTTTTGCACGTTTTCTCTTTTGTTTTGGTGTTGAATAGGTCCAACGAGTTGAGAACGAGGAGATGAGCCATCCGAGCCGTCCGACCTGGAAAATCCGACCAAGCCATACCGGAACGAAGAGAATTCAATGAGGAGAATTTTGGTCCAAGTTTCGTGCGAATCGGAGTTGTGTGCGAGAAATTAAAGCGAACCGAGCTTCAAGGGGTCACCGGGACCAAGCCACTGCGCGCCGGCGAAACCGTCCGCGAGCTCGAGAGTGCCCAGCCCTCACGCCCGCGTGCCCGCGGAGAGCCCCGCAAGCTCGAGAGTGCACAGCCCTCACGCCCGCGTGCCCGCGGAGAGCCCCGCGAGCTCGAGAGTGTTTTCATGCCCCAGCGCGTGCCCGCGAGAGAAGCCGCGGGCTCGGGAGTGTTGCCATGCCCCAGCGCGTGCTCGCGGATATGAGCGCGAGGTCGAGAGTGTCGCGCACCCAGTGCGCCCGTGCACATCCCTGCTCGCGTGCTCGCGGAAATTGTGGAGAGCTCGAGAGTTATTTAGTAAATGTGCGTGTTTTAGTGTGTGTTTTGTGGTGTAGCTATATAAAGACATCTTGCTTTGTATTTTTGAGAACAACTCTCATTTCCCAACTTTTAAGTTGAGAAAATCCTCTCTATTTTCTCTTTTTCCTTTTTTATATTTTGGTTTGGAGCTTTATGAATCAAGTTTTCTGGCGAACTTCCGGCGACATTGTTTTGAGCAAAGTTTCAAGCTTTTGATTCCGTTTCTTCTCCCGAGTGCATGTTGGAGTGGGTAACTTAGTCTTAAGCCCCATTACCTCGTATATCTTTATTGCTTTGGTAAATTGATATTGTGCTTGAGATTTTGGAAGAAAAGTTTGTTGCTTTGGATCATGAATGTTTGACTAAGTGTGGTAGGAGTTGAATTCTTGCTCGATTCATGCTAGAGTTTGATTTGACTTCCTAGGGTTTTTAGCGAACATGGCAATGGTTGGATTTTTACGTGCTTTTGATCATGATGACTCCGGTGAACCAAAATCCCTCTTTCCCCCTTGATCTCTCTAATCTTCTTGCGTGCTTTACTTGCTTTCGATTTCAATTTCGTAGATTAGCTTAGCTTAAATCAACCCTCAATTCAAGCGATTAACATGTTTAAGATGTTTTCGTTTGTGTGTCTTTGACGACGAGGTAGTAACCGAAGCTCCGAATAGCCTTCCTTTGAGAACGACCCGAGGCCGGGTAACTCGGTTACCAATACCCAATAATCTACTTAACAGACGCACGTATTTAAGTTCATACAGTACGTGTAAATCCGACTCCAATACCGACTTTGTGGCACAACTCCATCCTCCTGAGTTCTTGAACACTATCAAGTGTTCTGGAACGCCGAACCATGAATTGAATTTGAAGGTCGGAACTCCAATTATGTTGTTGCGGAATATGAATCAGTCAATGGGACTCTGCAATGGTACACGATTGGTTGTGACTAAACTCTCAAATCATGTTCTCGAGTGTAAAATTCTTACTGGCGATCATGCATGTGATAAAGTTTTGATACCTCGGATGACAATAACTCCTTCTGATGATAGAGTACCATTCAAATTTCAAATAAGGCACTTCTCCATTATGGTTTCGTTCGCAATGACTATAAACAAGAGTCAAGGTCAATCATTATCGCATGTTGGCTTATTCTTGAAGAAACTAGTTTTTAGTCATGGCCAGTTATATGTCGTTGTCTCCCGTGTTACTAACAGAAAGGGTCTGAAAATTTTAATTTGTGGAGAAGAAGGTTTGAAAGAAAATCAAACCAATAATGTTATGTATAGAGAAGTGTTTAATAATATATAATTTTGTTTATATTTTGTATTCCTCTATCCTCTTTTTATTGTAATTAAATTATTAATTTATAAAAAAAAATATTTAAAATAAAATTTGAAAAAAAAAAGATTTGATGAAATAACTCCGTGCTACGTCCGGGTACCATACTAGTTCATAGATTAAGAAGCCTGAATAAAATCCTAATCAAATAATTTTCAAACAATTAAGGAGATGATTAGCAAAAAAGTTAAAGGAAAATTCTCAGCCATCACCAAGGACATGAGGAGTCCAAGTTCCCTCAACCTCCTCACCCTCTCGGTCACTCAAGGTACGTAGCAGCCACCAAGGAGTCCTAGCAACCCCAAGCCCAGCAGTCCACACGCGGCTGAAGCAGACGAGACGAGTGCCCAGCAGTCCTGGTGCAGCCCCAAGTCTTTGAAGCAACCGAGCATCCACCGAGACCCGAGAGCAGCAACCGAGGCCTTTTTGCATCCGAGCCTTGCCCTCTTTTTCCCTTTATTTTTTTTCCCAAAAGGGGTAATCAGCTGAGGTCCCAAAATTAATAAAAGTCATGCTGAAAAAATAAGATCAAGATCAATATTTAAGAATCAAAATTTGGAAGTTTAAAGAATTTAATAAGAATTAAGAGAAGGAGAAGAAAGATCCAATTTTTGTTTCATGCTATGAGATCCGATTTTAGTTCAGAATTTAAAGAGCTTAAGTTGATCTTAAAGTGACGAAGAGGGTTTAACGCAGTGGCGCGTACCTCGCTCGGCGTATTCCATATCCCGAGTTCGAGTCATCGAGGGGAAATTGGGGTACCTCGCTCGGCGTATTCCATATCCCGAGTTCGAGTCATCGAGGGGAAATTGGGGAACCAGTATTAATCATTCTCTGTGTGTGTGAATAAAAAAAAAAGTTGATCTTAAAGTCTTAATAATTTTATTCAAGATTAGTTGAGAAAAAGAACGCAAGAACCATAAGATGATGCCTTGAATCTTAGGTTGTGCCTTTGGATTTTTGTAGAATTATTTGGTTAAGAACTCTAGTGGCAAATCAAGATTTCAACACCCTAGTTAGAGCCCCTTTGAGACTTAAAATGCCTCAGCAGAATCCCTTGACGAACTTCCAGAAACTTCACCGGAGGCCGGCCAACAGCTAGCACTGGGCCGCTCCTAGCGCCCAGGCAGCGGGAGACCCATGCAGGCACGACCTTGCCCCAACGAAGCCGCAAACGCCCGCGTGTGCATTCCCCGTGCGCGCTACTAGACGCCCGCAGACGACCATGTCATAAGCCCCAACACCCGGAAACGCCGGTGTGACGCTCTTGTGGGTGCCCGTGCATCCCAGCTGACCTGTTCCCGTGCGCTCGCGACCTGCAGTGTCCTGTCAGAGACCTGTAACGTCCCAGGCATTCCCAGGAGCAGCGTTGGCGTGCCCCATGCCTCAGCGCCCGTGTGCCAGCGCCAAGCGATTCGGCAGCACCCGTGCATCGTGCCAGTGACCCTGCAGACCCAAGTTGGGCAGTATCCTTTTGTCGGGACAAGCAGTTGAGCCTTTAGTTATTCATGTTGCATGCGTATGTTATGGTATCTGTAATTATACTGAATATGTGCGTAGTATGTATCCTCACTGAGCTAGTGTTTTGCCCTTTTCTCCCTTTCAGGTTGATTGAGTTGTGTCCGACATGAATGGTGGGGTGGTCTATTATTATGCAATTTATGATTTAATCATGAACTTTAGGACTTGGTTTTAGAATTATGCATGAGATTGATTTGAGACTTCTTTTTTTTTTTTTTTTCCAAAGGATAGGGATCTCATTACCAGTAAAAACGTTTGTACAGAGCAACACACGAGTAAGAATGAGAGGACCAAATACATTGGCCTAAACCCGGGCAAGCCCGAGAACTAACAGTCGACAAGCTACAAGCTGCCTCATACCAACCACCAGAGAAAAAATCACAACAGCTACCCAAAATAAATCCTACGCAGCTATTAGACCGGTTTTCAAAAGATAAGTAGAGGGCGCTTACATACCCGAGTTTATTAGACCGGTTTTCCCGCAATCATTACTCCAATTTACCTAAGATGAGTCTAATCCATAAGTCCCTGCTACACTCACTTGGATTCTTCTTATTATTATTATTATAAATTATTGAGAGGGCAAACAATTCAATATGAACTTCACCAAAATGCAATCAACACAATACATCACAAAGTAATAATGCGCATTATTTATGTAGATTAATCAGTAGTAACGCGCGCGCGCGGTATACATCATCATATATGAAACAAGACTAGAGCTCATCATTCACGTCATAATAATCCTCTACTGTCTGACAATCCCCCTTGCTGAACGAAACGTTGTTCCATTCAATATCATACACCACGTTAAAATTTTGTTGCATCAAAGTCCCCAGAATGGTGGTCGTAACCCCAAGGATAGGCTCGGAAGGCAAGATGGCCAGACAAAAGGTTTGGTTATGCGTCTGCTGAAACACGCTGTCGGCCTCCAGCTCCATGACCACCCCACCCCGGAACACAAATTTCATGGTCGGGAACCCGTTTGTTAGATCTCTGGTGACGACCCCGTTGTAGCAAAACCTCGTGACCTTATTTCGGTACGTGATGGAAGTATTTGGGGTTAGACCGAGGCTTTCAATTAGGCGGGTATATACGGTCTCGATGTCAATCACAACATTGAATGGCATAAAGCTGAGACTCAAACTGGTGTCCAAAATAACCCCACCACCAATGTAGTCGGAGTTGTTTCTCGTGAAAATCAGCGGGTCGAGCTGAAACGAGCTCTCGCCAACCACAAGTATTTCCATGTTTACAAAGTATTTGTCGTCTTCAACGACCAACGGTGTTGTAAAAACACTCCAATGCACAATGTTGTTGCTGCTCCCTATGACTAATGTGCTATGGGGATAAGACTTGTCGCTTATCTTCCCAAAACAATAAGAGAACCTGCTGGCATTATACTGTGAGATAAGAGAAAGACGACCAAGGTTACCACCACCTAGCCCGAGGACTCCATTAGTAAAGAGATTGGTCTTTCTTGAGCAGCCAAAGACGAGGTTGCTGAGAGAATCATTACCGGTCTTTCCGAAATCAAATGTTTCTCTACGGAGGAACCCCCAACTGCTACGCGAACTGCCATAACTTACATAGTAACTGCAACCATTAACATCGCAATCTAAAGAGGGAAAGAGAATTATAACTGGACCTGAAGCATCACAGATATCGGTTGCTGTGCAGTTTTCCACCTGGTGAGTCGTGGAGGCCTCGGGATCAAATAAAGGCTCCGGCACATCTGCAAAACTTGGCACACAATTGATCCACACCAAACTGCTCCCTGTGTCCATGAACACGTATTGGTCAACCCCGTTGGACCCGACTCGCATCCGGACAAGAAAGCCGTCCCATACGGAGGCCGGAGTAAGGTAATCGGCCTCAATTATGTCATCCAATTGAAACCAACGGGTACTATTGGTAGTCAGATAGAGTCCGCGGGATATTGAGCTCTTTAAGGATATCTCCGCAAGTTGTTCCACATTTAGATTGGGATCGTAAAGTGGGGAGTATATGGATTGATGGTGTATGAGTCTGGCGAGTAAGATTTCAGGATTCGAAGCTTGGGAAAAGGTTATCAAGGTTGAGAAAATAAGAAGAACAGAAGAGATTATTTTGCATACGGACATGAATAACATGTTGAGATTTTGTTGGTGATGCATGATTGATATTAAATTAAAAATTGCTGTAATTAAGCTAAGAAGATGTCTGAGGGGGCTCTAGGATAGTTTTTGGAGACAGATAGAGAGCTTAAATTATATAGACATGAGTGGATTCAACATGTTTAGTCAGTGTGAAACTGGAGACTTTTGGTACCAGTAGCTGCCCTGGTGGACAGTGCTCACCACTTTATTTTATATGAAAAACGTATCTATTACTATAAAATAGAGTTAAGAAAAAATAAAGTTTTAGTAAGTTTTTTCCCTCCAAAAAATTTCGAAAATTACTTTTTTTGGTAACTTTTTTTTGAAATATTTTCACTTATCCCGCCTACACAAATAATTTAATTTTGAATGGGATTTATGGATATCTGATTGATATATTTTAGGATGAGATTTGGTTGTTTTTTTTAAATCCGACTTTCACTTGCTTTTCACCTATTTTAACTCCTTTTTTTAGGATGAGATTTGGTTAATTTTTTTTTAAATCTGATTTATAAAAATCTGGGGCTGATTCATTCTCTTTCTTCTCTTTCATAAGTAGGTGAAAAAAAAATCTGGGGCTGATTCATTCTCTTTCATTCTCTTTCAATGCTGCAACAGCGGTCGGTGTCTCACCGTGATAGCTTATGGTCGGCAATTTGGAAGTGGGCAGGGCCGCACCGAGTGCGTATGTTTCTGTGGCTAGCTGCACGCGACTGTTTACTGACGAACGTGAATCGTCACCGTCGCCACATGACATATTCTCCGGTCTGCCTGGTGTGTTCGGGGGCGACGAAATCGACCTTACACGTGCTTCGAGATTGTCCTGCAGCAGTGTGCACGTGGAAACGGCTATTACCCAGAACACTTTGGTCGAGTTTCTTCTCCCTCGATTTAAGGGGATGGCTGATGGGGAACATTAGAGGGGAATTTAGTCGGGTGTCTGAGGAATGGGTGACGATCTTTGGGATTACGGCATGGCGACTCTGGAGGTGGCGGAATATACATATTTTTCAGGGTGCGGAGGTTTCTATTTACCGCCGCCTTCACGAGATACGCTCCTTTGTGCAAATGGGGTGCCAAGCCTTGGCGGATAGTCGTTG